GTTCTTTGGATATTCTTCAATTTTTGGATAAGATGCTCGTTCTCCTGAATATAATAGATTTGCCATAAAGTTTTAAAAAAAAATACCTGAGGCTCTCCAAACACCCCTGCAATTTTCACAATTTCCCTGATAATCATGGAGCTGCCCTGAGTTCTCAGAACTGCCCAAAGTTACGTAACTTCCCTTAAGATCACAATCTCGAAATAAAAATCTGGAAGTACGCTGAAGCTATTGGAACGTACGCTAAATGATCATAAAGCTTTCTCGCAGTACTACCGTGAAATATTCGGAACTTCCTTTAAATTCTTGGAATTTCCAACATCGTTAAAGTTCCCGCATTTTTTCTTATGCAAATGGAACTATCATAGGGTTATCCAAACTTTTCTGAAGTTCCCGAAACATCATAAAAGTTCCCGGATTTTTTATGATGCTCATATGACTCCCAACTTCTTCGAAGTGTTCTGGGTTTTGTTTTGGAACATCTGTAAAAGTCCTCTATTTTTGCTAAAGTTAATCGAACGGCTCTGAAGGGCTCAAAATTTTCCTGAAGTTTTCGGAACCTTTCCTAAAGCTCCTACAATATTCGGATGATCATGGAACAGCTCTTGAAGTTCTCTGAACATACCCGATGCTTTCTAACCTCTCTAAAAGCTCTTTGAATTTACCTGAAGTTTTCTGGAGTTTGTTGAGATTCTTGGAAAGCTCCGGACATTTTCTTGAAGTGAATGTAATGGTTAAGTTTGTTTTTAATATAGCCACTTTTACACTTTTGGGTCGTTCGTGACATGTTCGGAGATGATATTTGAACTCGTGACTTTGTCGAGAGAGGTATGGATCTTAACCACTACGCCGAGATCACCTCCAAATGGAATTGTCTGAAGTCAAGATTCTCTGAAGTTCTTCTAAGTTCACGACAGTTCCGTGAAGTTCATGGTACTGCCCTGAAGCGAAACGTACCATTAAACATATTTAAACTTCCCCAAATACTAGTTCTTAGAACATCCCTGAAGTTTTCAAAATCGCACTGAAAAGCTCAGAAGATACCTGATTTGTTCTGTACCTCCCTGATTTTTTCAGAACTTCCTTAAAGTTCCAGATATATTCCTGAAATCATGGATCGGTCCGGAAAATCTTTGACATGTGAGTCAAATGTCAAATGTCGTCAAATGACGAATCAGCCTGATGTAATTTGCTCCGATTATTTTGAAACTTTGTATAATTGTTTGTCATGGTCAATTATGCACATTTGAACTAAATTTCGACCATTTTGAATCTCGCTAAAAATAATGCGTATTTCAATGATATAACAAATCATAACTTGAAAACGCTAATTGCAATCAAAAAGGCATTTGAGACAAAGTTTTAGGTAAAAATAGTTACTTATCAAGAAAAATATACAATGTTAAAAAAATTAACTAGTTTTGAGTAAAAAAAATCAAAACAAGGTTTTTTTAAATCTTTATTATAGAGATTTTTAGACGAAGGCATCAAAACAAGGTAAATAAAACTTATATGACAAAAAATCACCCCTTCAGCCTTTTTTGAACAATTTTCATAAAAAAGCTTACATAAAAAACTATCTTCAATGAAATCTTCAAGATGAACACTAAATATATTTTTTTTTTAATCCTTAAAAACCATTTTTTGACATATTTTTAACTTTCTCTAATTAAGCAAAAAAAAATGTCTTCTGCACAAAATTTTATAAAAAAAATTAAACAAAAATCATTGTCCTAAAATTCTTGTGCAATGATTTGTGTTAATTGTCAAAATTATCACAAAAAATTGTATTTTTATAAGGTATTTAATTAAAAATTTAAAAAAATACTCAAGGGGTTCATTTTATTGTTATTTAAGTTTAAATTACTTTTCTTCATTTTAACCCAAAATTTCTAAAACTTTTTATGTGTACATATTTTTCCTGGAAAGCAATATTTTTTCACCAACTATGCCTCAGTCGTCATTTCGATTGGAAGTTACGTTTTCGAGTTATGATTTGTTGAAAAATATCAAATCAAATATGCCATTTTGAAGTTGTTTTGCGAAATTCAAAATGGCCGAAATTTAGCTCAAATGTTAATGGTTGACCATATCAAACAATTATGCATTGTTTCATGCAAAACGGAGAAGATCGAGTCTGAAATTCAACATTTGTTTTGCTATTTGGCCTGGTTCATTTACCACGTAAGAATCTATGAAAACCAACCCTCGCAAAAGAATCGATAAAATCCTGGGAGGAGAAGATATTAGATATGTTTGTACGAGCTCAATTTTGTTCATATGAGCACACAGTAATGGGTGGGTGTCTAAAAAATTAACTTATTCATTTTATTGAACAGAGTTAATAAGAGAAGCTCATGTAGATCGGAATTTCAGCACCAATGTAGGTAGTTTTCATTACAAAATATCAAATCGGTTTTAGAAACTGGATACTCATGGAGTAACCATGAGTAACCACCACGGAAGGCCTGATTTTAGAGTTATTATGCCATTTGAAAACATTTTTTATTGATGCCAATACCATTAACCATTTTTCATCACCATATGATATTTTCGGCTGATTCGGTAGTTTGAAGGACATTTGGAAATGTTGGGCCATTTTGAAATAACGTGACACTTTTATTACTAAAGGGTGTCCACGATGAAATTGCCACACTATGAAATTGCTCTAACTTTTTAACCGTTGGGTAGAATTTAATGAAAATTTGGGTGGATTTAGTTCATAGTGCATTATTTACATACTGCAAGTTTTAAAGTCCTGCGGTCAAAACTCGCGGAAATGGAGTCGAAAGAACAGCTCGTGCGTGATAAAATCTTGCGCATTCATCACGAGAACAAGGATCTCTCGCATCGTTCCATCGCTAAAACGTTGGGAATCGCGAATTCCACGGTGTCGCGAGTGATTAAGCGGTTCGAGAAACGGTTGACCACCGATCGGAAGCCCAGAAGTGAAGGAAAAAGTATTCCGTACAACACCAAAAATCACAACCGCGTAGTTGGGGCCTTCAACCGAAATCCGAACGCCTCCGTTAGGGATGTGGCTAAGAAGCTGCACCTAAGCCGAAGTTTTGTCCAGAAGGCCAAAACTAAGGCTGGGCTTCGAACGTTCAAGGTACAAAAGGCCCCTAATCGCGACGAGAAGCAGAACAAGTCTGCCAAAACCCGTGCCAGGAAGTTGTACCTCAACATGCTGACGAAAGTTGAATGCTGCATCATGGACGACGAAACATATGTGAAGGCCGACTTCAAACAGATCCCCGGCAACCTGTTTTTCACGGCCAAGGATAAGTTCAGCTTTCCGGAGCATGTCCGCACTCAGAAGATGTCCAAATTTGCGAAGAAATTCCTGGTTTGGCAAGCCATCTGCACGTGCGGGAAGCGGAGTGCACCTTTCGTGACCCAGGACACGATGAACGGACAGGTGTACATAAAAGAGTGCCTCCAGAAGCGGCTGCTTCCTCTCCTGAAGGCCCACAACGTCCCAACAATCTTCTGGCCGGATTTGGCCTCATGCCACTACTCCAAGGACGTGCTGAAGTGGTATGCGGACAATAAGGTCAATTTCGTGCCGAAAATGTTCAACCCTCCCAACACTCCGGAGCTCCGCCCCATCGAGAAGTACTGGGCGATTATGAAGCAGCACCTTCTTAAACGACCTAAGGTAGTGAAGACAGTCGAGGAACTGAAGAAAGTATGGGTTTACATGCAAAAAAACGGTTGATTCACAGGTTGTGCAGAATCTTATGGCCGGGGTTAAGGCCAAGGTGCGGGCATTTGCGTATGGACTGTAAATAAAATACGAGTAAAATGGTAAAATGAAGTTTAATAGTTATTTCTCAATCCCTGAAAATTTGATGGCAATCGGATGAAAACTCGAATTTTGCGAATCAATTTTGTGTGTGGCAATTTCATCGTGGACACCCTTTAATTTGTCGATTTTATAGACCTTTCCAGATTATTTTGGATTTGCAGCCCATTTTGTATCAAACAAGTGATTCGTTTTAAGTTGCTGGGCTTGATTCATCATTTAATGTAATGACTTTTGTGGCGTCAGATCTGATATCAAATAATCAGAAACACGAAAGCCAATATTTTGTCATCCGAAATCTCGAAAGATTTTCAGTGTCTATGAGTCTACATTTAAATGAGCTCAAGATCCCGAATAGTAGTCTATGTTTTAAATCCAAAACAATTCTTTCGTCCCAAGATCGAATAAGGAGATTATCAAAGACTATAATATCGGAAATATATTTTTTTATACCGTTAATATGTTTGATAAAAATGACAGAACCTCTAGTGGCTACTATTCAATTCAATACCACCTTAATTATCGCGCATAAGACAAACTCTGGAATGAAGTATCGCAGTCCAACAGTGTTTCATTTAGCATTCCAAACCCTCCCTCCCCGTAAAGCGCATACACACCATCTCAAGGACAAACAGATACAGTTATTGCCGGTCTATACGATATACATATTCACGTGTTGATCACAGTTATAATTGATAACTCCTTCCTCCGAGAATCAATATAATGGCTGTATCCGGAGACGCGAGGCGATCACAAATTGCCACCTTCATCGCCCGGTTTGTACGACCCGTCACAAATTGCTTATTGTTGTTCAACTTTCACGTGCAACAACGTTCCTCTGAACTAAAATTTCCACCTCACCAGCTATCATAGGTACCTTTTTTGCACTCACACATACAAGCACTTACCCACTCGTAATGGAATAATAATCGGAATGCACACGAGTACTAAAAACCCTAATTTTGATCTTAATGAATGGCAATCGTGATCAACAGTAGTGACGTTGTATGATAATTTGTAAGCTTAAACACAGAAAAGGCGCTTTACTGGAATTAGAACGAGGGATATGCTGATGCTGATGGGCGGGTGAAGAAGCTTCCTAAAGCTGGTGATTACGAATGGAGATCATGACTGCATGGCCTTGTTGACAGGAAGTCAAAGCCCGGAATAGTGCTTCAGTTTGATCAAGGCTTTCACATCCGAGTATCCCCCGTTGAATGACCTGTTTTCCGGTGGCCGGAATGAATCGAAGCTCAATAAAGTACGAACGCTATGAACCTCCGGAGTCCACTCACTTTCGATTCGCGCTGGAAGTTCGTTCTCAGGATCTCGATCCGCGTAGTTTACAAATCCCGAGATATCGTTTGGAGTTTCCAAAACACAGGAAATTGTGCGCGTGTGTTCCTTATCGGAAAAAAAATGTGGAATACAGTTCTTCTGTATGGATTAAGTGTTCTGATCGTGGTTGGTGTGTATTATCGATGGTCCCGACGGAAGGTGTTGGCTGCTGTGGCCCATATGAATGGACCACCTAAGGTGCCTCTGCTTGGACATCTATATTTGATGAAATTCACATCACCAGGTGATTTAAGCTGTTGGATTTTAGTGTACTGATAGGCTAAAGGATGTACTCGTCGAATGAGGTGCAGCCATGTCATGCCGTAGGAGGCAGTTCAGTTTGGTCGTGAAAATTGTCGGGTTCATGGGCTTCGTACGATTGCAAAAATGACATAGACTCTAAATCGTTCGAAATAAACAACTGTAAGTGCTCAAAGAACAGTAAGCTAAGTTTAGGGAGGCAAAGTTGAAATCGTAAAAATCGAAAAGCAGTAGTGAAATTGTGAAAATATTAGGCAAAGATAGCTGAAGATGAGAGAATAATTTCAAAATGTATCAAATGCAGAATTGGTTGCATGGTTTGTAAAATGCTGTGGATTCTCATGTACTCTTGTGAAGACAGGTCAATACATTTTCAAAGGCATTAAAGAAATTTGTGAATGCCAATTTACACTAGGCGCTCTCCAAGTGAAGAAATATTGCATGATAAAACAGACGCTTAGAAAAAATATCCGAATTAAATAAAAAAATTATTTGCCTCTGGCATGCAGAAATTTCATAAGAAAATAGAATCCACTCTGAACCGTAGTTGATCGGTTTTAAAACGGAACTTTAGGACAGTCTAACTCATTTCAGGAAAATTATAGAAATTTTATTGGAGAACTGACAAATTTGTGGAAGCTCATGAAAAATCAGGGAAGTAGGAGCTTATTACAGCAATTTAGAAATTTTCAGAAATGTTCCAAGAACTTTAGGGAACATCCGAACCATTCAGAGAAATCTGAAAAACTTTAAGTAAATTCCGCAAACTACATGGCACTAAAATGAACTTCAGAAAAAAAATCACGAGCTAAGATGAACAGTTTTATTAACATCAAGAAAATTTAAGGAACTTTCAAATTGTAGAAACTTTAGAGAATTTCCGAAAACTTCTGGAAATATTCGATAACTTAAGGACAGTTCAATTAAGTCAGATCAAAAATTATGGAACTAAACAGATTTTCCCAGAACTTTAAAAAAAAAAAATTGAGTGTCCACAATCGACTGGCAGATTTCGGAATTTTCAATTAAGCTCCTAGATCTTCAGGACAATTGTAAAAGTTCAATGAACATCAGAAAAAATGCTGGAATGTTCAATAACCTGAATTTCTTGAAATTACTAAGAATATAAAGATCTTTAGGAGTAAGCTTCGAAAACTACAGGGCAGTTAAATTAATTTCAGCAAAATATCGTGAACTAAGATTAAGAACAGTGTTATTAACGTTAAGGAAATTATAGGAATTTATAGGAAAACTTCAGGAAAGTTCCGAAAACTTCAGGGAAAATTCGATAGCTTAAGGATCGTTCAATTAAGTTCAGAAAAAAAGTGCAGGAACTTTAAAGATATTCCAAGGACAAAGTCCAGAAAACTTTAAAGAAGTTCAAAGCATGATGGTAGTTCCGAAAACTTCAAGAACGTGCAGAGCTACGGGCAAGTTTTTCAATCATTTAGTTAAGTTCGGATTGCTTCAGAGCAGTTCGATAGATTTCACTGAAATTTCTGGAAATTCAGTGAAGATAAATTGCTTCAGAGCAGTCTCATTAAGTTCCGGAAATCTTAACAGGAGTTTCCAAACCTTAAGCTGAGTTAAAGATCTTAAAGGAAGTTTCGAGCAGTTCTGAGGACTCAGACCATGATTGTCAGGAAAATTGCGGGAATTTTAGGGAAGTTTGGAGAACACCAGGTAAACTTGGATAACCTTAGGGCAGTTCCATTAAATTGAGGAAACCAGTGGGAACATAGAAGTTTCAAAACATACTGAGAACATCAGGGAAATAAGAGACCATAAGAAAAATTTCGGAAACTTCACAGAAGTTACGAGAAATTCACGAAGATACAAGGCCGTTTTATTAACTTCAGAGCAACGTGTAACATCATCAGAATAGTAGCTAAAACTTCAAGAAAGATTAGAGAACTTCAAAAGGGTCTACACAAATTATAGGAAGAGGAATCGAGGAATGAAAGAAATTACCGAGGATTTTGGGGAAGGTTCATGAACAGACTGTGGGATAATAAGGGGACTTCAGCGGTTATTTCTAATCTGAAAATGGAATTAAAGAACTGGGGAAAAAGTACGGTTTATGACAAATTGAATAACACCTCAAGCACCACACTTTGAATACGCAAAGTTTACTCAATCTCTCAAAAAGGCATTAGAACACATAAATAACAGGACATTGTCCTTGTAAACACCGTTTAAAAAATATTGGAAACCTTAGTGATGATGGATGTCGGTTTTTTAGTTTGGAGGGCGGAAGCTCTGAACATTTATTGTGTGATTGCGTTGCACTATTCAATAAACGATGCAGATTTCTAGATAAAGAACTGACCGTACCTGGAGAAATCTGAACTATAGTATGCCCAATGAAGTTGTAAACTTCATTCGAAGTGGAATTCCATGTTGGGATATTGCCGATAATCAATGATAAAAATCACTCTACCAATAGTGGTTGATCATCAAAACACATGGCAAACAGTAAAAATAGGATAAACCACAATAGATCAAAACACTGGTCGCAGTGGTAAAGGTTGAAAATCTTGTTAGTAGGTATTATGCGTATTGTAAGACCATTGTATCAGTCTCCCTTTCTTACCGTAGGCCATTGCTAGTAATTTTCTTCGTATACGGCCCATCATGTTTTGCACAAGCCCTGTTCCCATTTGTTTGGCTGTCAAATTCCATTTCCGCTTAAAATCCTTCAAGTCAAATGCAGTTACACCCTTTTTATATGCTTCATGTGCTTCACAATTGACGAGTATTCCTCAATTGGCCTTAGTTCCGGTGTATTGGGCAGATTCATCTCCTTGGGAAAAACTGTGACGCCATTTTTGCTTTACCACTGCTGGTGGAATTTGAGTAGTGGCAGCTTGCCAAGTCCGGCCAGAATAGGCAATCCACCTCATGCTGCTCCAGAAAAGGCAGTAGTCTCTTCTGTAGACACTCCTCCTGGTCCCAGAATGCCTTACTGGCAGCGTTTTTAATGTGTACGGATTTTAACCTTTAAATGATCCCGACATGGAAATAAAGGAGACTGCTGCAATATTTTCAGCTTCAACTTCAAGGTGAATCCATCAGCTTCAAGGAAACTGCAGTAGCTTAGTAACTTTAAAGAAGTTCTATGACTTCAGAGACATCCAGAAAACTTCAGAGGTGTCAAGAAATCATCCGAGAAGTCTGCAGAACTTTTAGAGAATTGTTGAATCTTTCAAGAAAGCTAGCTCTAAAGATCTACAGAGAAATTCAGAGATCTTAAAATCTTGAGTTCGGACTTTCGGATAAATTTAAAGATCTTTAGTTTTTGAGAGAGGACACTAAGTAGTTCTAAGATCTTTTAATGTTAGATTCTATCAATTCAGCTTATGGTAATTGCAGACAGTTTTAGTCCGTTAGTTAGAAGGTTACAGCTCTATTGCAGATCCAACAACTCATTTAAGAATGTCTGGAGAGTCACACCCGTTCTGAGGACACTTTCACTCACAATAAGCCCTGGCACGCATTTAGTTTAATTTCGATATTTATTTTGTAAAGAATGATTGGACAGGTCTCACAATGTTCCACTCGTTCACGGCCGTTGATTGCTTCTTTTGGAATCCCTTGTTTTTTCTCACTAACGCTTCGTATTTCTCCAGTCAGAATCACTGGTAGTCTCCCGAAAGTCTCCCAGAAAATAGACAATGCCCATCTCCGGGATTTTTTTTTTTTAAAGGGCATCACTCCATTGTCGTATCGCATGCACCCCATTTTACTACTTTCCTTTCACTTTTACTCTATTGAATCCACGGTACCGGAAATGATATAGATATATACATTATTAGCAAAACTGTGACATAACCACGACGGGATGGCCGTGCAGAACGGTTCAACGGACGTGAAATGGGAGAACATTTAAATTTAACAAGATTTAAAGTATTTCAATGCAACACTCAATTTGTTGACTAACAATTGACACAGTTTTCAATATGCTATCTACACTAAATTATGGAAGCATCTACTTGTGTTTCATACAAATAGTATCAATGTTCCGTCAAGTGATCTTCGCAAGTGCCACATTTTATTCAGGCTCTTTGGAACTAAATCACTTTTTAAAGTGAATTGCACATAAGTATGGCAAATGGCATCACTTACTCACACATGAAATCTACCTCGACCAATCTGGCAGAACGTTAAAGCGCTGAATCAAAAGGCAAGAATTCTGAGAATTTCATAATTGTTCCTAAAATTTCTGGAAACTGCGGGGTCTCAGTTCCAGGGTCATCAGAAAATTTATTAGACCGTTTTCGAGAGTTTCTTGAAAATTTAAGGAATTTCTTGAAGAAACGAAAACTTCAGGCAAGTCCAGAGAAGCTTAAAGAATTTGATATATTTTAAAGAAAGTTCCATGAGCTTCACAGTGTATCACAAAGTTCAAGTAGATTTAGAGAGCTTCAGCTTAGATGAATTCCAAGGCAGTTCCATTTAGTTTAGAAAAATTGCGATTACTTCTTAAAAGCTCTTAGAAATTAATTGAAGAGAACTTTGTTGAAGATCAGAGATTTTAATAAAATTGCCCCTAACTTCAGAAAAGCACCGAAAATTTTAGAAAAGTTAAGAGTTACAGGGAATTTTAAAAATCTAGAAGAATTCGATTTTTTTTTTCAGTTTTTCAGTCTACAAGGAAAAGTATTGTTTACAATTTTATCATCGTCAACGTTTGATCCAGCATATGAGATCTTCATCAGAGCTTGTTTTAGATTATAATCGCGAAACTATTTGCGCTGAACGAAAGACTGCATAGCTTTATGTCCTCTGAAATGTCCAATGACCAAAGCGTCTGACATAAAACATCGTAGCATTTAGATTAGTATTTTTAAGTTGATGGAGTTTTACCCATACCCTATTGATAGTTAGAGGGAACTAAATTATGTGTGAATTTCCAAATTACAGGCACACATAGCAAAAAATAGTGAATAATTAGTTCTTAATTTACCATGACAGCACTGACGA